CTTATAGCACGGCGGGTTGGACTCAGCAAGTTCCTCCGGGGTTGGCAGAGTACGGAAAGCCGCGATTAAAGTGTCCTCAATCTGAGAAGAGCCCGACTTTAGAGTCTCCTCGTACTTAGCCACAGCAGCCTCAGCACGGGCAGCGTTGGCAGTCGAGTTGAGTGGGTCCTCCCAGAAGGGCAGCCCCGTCTCCATCTCGCCAGAGTCGGCGTTGGCAGCAAACTCAGTGTTGTTCGAGTCAGCCATGCACCACTCGGTGAAGTTGGCGAACGTGGAGCCCGTGTCGGGGTTGTCGATGGCAGTGATTCCGACAATATCGTCGATAGTCACCCAGCCCAAGACGTTGTAGGCGAAGGTGCAGTCCACACCGTCAGGACCCTGGCCGTAGCTGCACAGACCCTTGCGAGTGCTTTCGCGGCATTCGTCCGTCTTGTCCCCCCACCCCTGAAGCGGACATGTGCCCGGGAAGGAAAACCAGTAGTTGTCAGGGTACGGGGCACGCACATCGTCGTCCTTGATGCCACCGCCTATGAAGGGCCCAACGTTGGGCTGGTCGTCGTCCCCGTTGAACTGCAAACAGCCAGCAGGGAAGTCGAATTTCACTTGTCCAAGCAAAGCGTGAAGATATGCTGCAAGGAATGGTTCAGAATGTGACGGGGCTCGAAGCTCTTGTGATGTCGAAGATCTTACTTTGACGTATGGCATTGTGACGAATTTTCTCGAGTGGAAGTTCTTGATCAGTGGCGACGAGAAGGTCATCGTGAGATTCCTGAGTTCTTCCTCAAGCGAATACCATACTGTCGTTTGAAGGATTGAAAGAAATTGTGGGGAGAATTTACGCGATGCTGCAATAAATATCTTCCATATGCAATCCTTTTGCTTATTTTCTAATTGAGATCTTCTTACATGCACTCATCTGCTTAATCATGGCATCGAAAGGTATCTCTGATCGTCCACTCAACGATAGCACTTAAGAGCATCTAGAGAAATCCGTCAAGCTACCGGTGAAACTAAAGAATGAGAGATCAACAGAGCGCGCGGCCACACCTCCGGGATTGAATCAAGTAATATTTGTTTAATTACTGATAAATATAAAGTTAGTAATATACAAAAAATGGCGTACTCACCTCAGCAATACCTCGCTAACAAAGAGCGTATTAAGGCTGCGCAGAAGCGCTACTATCAGCGCACACGTGAAACTCGACTGTCGTATCAAAAGAGCTACGACGATAAGAACAGAGAGCAGATCCAAAACCGAACTTATTGATGAACCTAACAACGAAACCGAACTTAATTAATTATTTTTTTCTCCAAGAGCGCGTTCTCGTAGCGGGAGAACGATTCCAGCCTGGCAGTGACCGCCTCTGGACCTTGCGATGCAAGATGAGCCACGCCCTCCGGGCCAAGCAAGGACATGAGCTTAGTAAACGCGTCCTGCTGCGCCGGGGGCAAATTCGCGAACACGGGGTGTTCCATCCTCGCAGAGGATATAGTCAACCGACTCTGGAGCGGGATTGACTACAAGTGCTACCAAGTGCAGCGGGGCTGCCGTAGCTTTAGCGTCAGAGGAAGACGTTCGACTCAAAGAGTCACTAATACTAAGTTCCTTATCCAAAGGAACTTACAGCCCAAGACCAGGGCTCAAAGTTAACACCTTAACTTTTATGCTTCAAAGCCAGAAGTGTTTTATTTACTATTATTGCGGCCAAGCCGCCTAGGGGTAAATGTATCTGTTTAACTATCTAGCATAGTTAAACCTAATCAAATGCATGAGTGGGAAGGTTTCGTGAAAAATCGGAACAGAATTCGTGACGAATGACTGGGGAAACCATTTACCGAAGAAGAGCTGCGCTTCCGTTCTCCCACGATTGGACATTATGGGTAACCGGGGTCCACAAAGGCGGAGCTAACACTTCAACCATGAGGTCTACAGGTTGTTGCAGCATCTCTTCCGGAAGACCAGCGAGTAATTCATCTCGACGTAAGTTTCGCGCGAACGAGGAAGTCAGTGAGTGAGATACTTGACGCGGTGGAGCGAGACAGCTCGTCTCTCGTCTCTAAGTCGATGAGGGGGAATAGAGAGCGACTGAACGTGTCGAAATAGTGTACGCCACTCATCACGACGCCCATCTGGTTGAGTTTCCTGGCTGCGATCGCGTCTCGCACTTCGTCGAACGGTTTGGTGACGTAGCTACCCAGATAGTACTCTTTAAGTGGAATCATACTCACTCCAGCAAGGACAGCCACGAAAATCGCTACACACGTTCGATACGTGATCTCGTAGTCGTGAGATCGCAATCCCTGTGTGGTGGTCCTTTTGGCGTGGTTCGGCATGTCTGGTGTAAAGCGTGGACCATCCATAGAGAGTCTCTGCACTGTCACCGTGTTCCTCTCCTTAACATCGACGTTCCCATCCAGGGCTGCCATCGCTTCAATTTGTGGTTCGGATCAACCTCCAAATCCTAGATGTAGTCCCGATAGGAAGAAGAAAGGTGGGCGTGGGACGGACTATCTTCGTCTCGAGCTCGTAGATTTTATTTCCGGTGTCTTCCATTCCTAAGATAGAAAGAGCTTGCGTCGATCCAATATTGCACTCTATTGTGAATGTCGCGAGTCGTCATGCCACCAGGTGTATGGTACAGCTCTTGTCATCCGAGTCTTAATCTTGAGTATTATAAATATTAAAAAGGGTACGAAGTGATCACTTGGTGACAGAACACTTTTTTACAGATAGCATTATGACTCACCGTAAGATTTTTTTTCTAGTTAGGAAGTAGGAAAATACCAAACGGCGGAAGCACTGCCGCGGAGCAATTTGCGCAGGGAGGGAAAGATTAGGTGGTGCATCAGGTATTGTACCTTCTGTCTTGACTAGGGGGGGAGAGAGGCATATTAAACGACCTAAGTCTGGGTGGGGACAGGGTTTCCTTATCTCTCCTTCCCACGATA